TATATAGATGAATATTTTTGAATTTACGCATAAGAGCATTTACGGATATTTATTAGTTTATCGTTATCTACTGTACAAAGCGTATTAGATTCATTGTCCCAAATCATTCAAAGTTTTTTTCAAGCTTTTTTTTAAAAAAAATAAAATAAAAAAATTTTGGATCTCACATGCACAAACAAACATAATGGAGATTTATTTAATGTATTTATTTATTATTAACCGTTTGAAATTTTGAAACTAATAAATTGCATATATCTTTTATAAGCATAGTAATGCACATACCTAAATGTAATAGTTTTAATAATTTAATTGGTTGCCGTATATTCTTTAGAATGTTCGGTAATCTTGGTACAAATTCGAAAAACAACCTTGAACAAGTATATGCTAGAAAATTGGCTCATACATGCGCATTAATCGTGCGCATATAATAAAACAAACTTTCATTATTTAATCAAATAATCGTTCATGATTGGTTTGCGTTATTTAATTTAATCTTTAAACATAAATATTGAAGCAACAATTGATTTAATTTACTTGTCAATTAACGCGCTAACCAATGAAAAATTTTACTGTGGACCAATCTAAATTACGTTTTAAAAATAATATAATTATTAAAATATAAATATCACCATGTCTCTTCTTTTGACATTTCCAAATTCCTTTTATTTATTCATCATATCGTTTCTATTCAAATCGATTCTGATCCCTATTTTATAATGTTGACAAAATTTGAAACAACAAGCGAATATATCGCATTTGTAGTTAAACGAGCAATTCCATCTACGATCTATAATTTAACGAAATCTGCGGCTGACCTGGTAGATTCACAAGTGATACCTGATCCTGACGTCTATTTGGCCCTTCAACAGAGTGAAGAATTTGTCCAACAATATTGTTATAAACAGTGGTATAATGAGTGGGAATATCATTGGCGTGGTGCGGCTACCGAACCAGACCATGGTGATGAACCAAATGCTCAAGTTGGTGCTAATGAAGATTACATATTTTATAATAGGCAGGTTTCAGGTTTTGATTTTGTGAATTATTTAAAGGTATTCTTTATTGTAATTTCTTGCAAGTATTTTCAAACAGAATGAATTTTTTTCTAATCCACTCTATTATCTACATTTTTGATTAAACAAATCTGTATAGAATAAACTTTCAGATTCAATTTTAAATAATCTAGAAACGACACAATTAGTAAACCACATACTTGATCTATTAGAATCTGAAAGTAAAACAGCAAATAGTCGCTGGCATGATAATTTTAAAAAATTTTATTTGCAAGGTGACGATGAAGACGTAAATTTGGTAACTTCGCATTGCGATTTTTATTATACCGCCACATCAGTTGAGGATTGTGAGGGTGCTCCGATTTTATTAATGTATTGGTGTTGCTGTTTTTATCGTATTCATTCTTAAAATCTGATTTGTTTGATTTGTGTTGATTCGGATGTATTTAAATAATTTGTTTAGAAGATTTGTTTATATCATTTATGCATGTTTAAAACATCATTTATTCATCATTTAGCATTATCAACTAGCATTATCTCATTTTTTAAATCATTATTTCTATATTTTATTGATGCTTGGCACTATCAATAAAAATTGGAAATTACAAGTACATACGTACGTTAACCAATAAACACGCATTTTAAAAACATACTTCAATAAACTATATTATATAACCTTATTTACTATGCATGTTTACGTAAAATGAAAAAAAAAACGAAAGGTTATCGTTATACTAAGTATATGCTTTAAGATATAACTCAAAATATAGTTAGCGTTTGATTGGTTAAGAACATGTATACAAAAAGAAGGTAAATTACAGTTGAATGCACATGCAATCCAGTGCCGTAAAACTCTTTATATATTAATTTTAGATCTATAGTTTTTTAATAAAATTATATTTAAATAAAGAATAA